CAATTAACTTTAAAATTCATTTATGAGCGTCCATTTAACTTCTGAACATTTTAAACTGAAAATGCTTACATTTAAGCGCTGTGAATATTTTGTTGTAAGTAAATAGTGGTTTTCTTCCGGGGGAAGTTATTCCGCCACAGTGACATCATTTTCGTAGAATTCGCAATATTCGGACCAATTCAGCAATAATAACTTGACGGTGTTTATGCGTTTCGCAAGAGTTCGTCAAGAACAAAAAGAAGGCCTTTGATTGCTTCTTGGAGGTAGAGGGTACACAGGTACGCCCTGCTGATTGCTTAAGTCAAGAACCATAACTTGCACTCTGAGGCAGAATAGAGCCTGGACTGGATAGAGCCTAGAGACTGGTGGAGCTATCACCCAACTATTATGTTTCGACGTAGACTAAAATACACTTTGTAAACTTTCGGTGCGTGGTCTGATCGGATTGAACAGAAACTGCAGAACAAAGGGGACCCTTTAAAGCTGGTGTGGGAGCGCCTTCAGCTTTTAACACTTCCAGAAACTGGGCTTACCTTTTTTGGACGCCTGAACATGGCAATATCATTGGGGCTGCACTGGAATTCATAAGCCTACAACCCTTTATTGTATGTCATAGTCGAAATAATGAGCACTCCATTACTGTGCAATTCTTTCATCTTGCAAATATCAAAAAAGAGGACCCAAGCACTCCTGCATCTGGGCCGGTGTGAAGTAAAAATTTTTTCAGGCTTTCTTACCGGACATTTAGGATACCGGAGCTTATAGAATATATTTCACTTGCATTGACTTATGGTGGAATCACTGAATTGTCTTAGAGATCTCGAGTCACTTTACTATACCAATACTTCTTGAAACTTTTATCTTAGTGACACCTTTATTTTAAATGCAGCATATAATGAATAGAACAAATTTTAAAAATTCCAGAATAATTTGAACTTTATAAACCATTAACTCTCATACAAATATATGATTAATGAACTGTGCTTGAACTTCATCTTCATGTTAAAAATTCATCTGTGGTTCCTTCATTGTCAATGTCAACGCCAATGGTTAAACGAGTGGAATAATAAACATTTTACGAATTCATGTAAATTAAAAACAACAAAGTAAATATTGTGATTAAGTGTGTGGCCTACGGTCATTCATGACCTTCATGTATAAAATTTATAAAATGAAATGGTTGTTGGTTGTAAAAATATTTTGCAAATAGTTAAAAACGAGAATATGTCAAGTCAGGGTAGTTACTGTGTTGCATTCTAAGGTTTTAAAGCATTTTGCTTTGCGACAGAACTGGTACGGGCGAGTGTGGTAGCTCCTGATCTGGTTAGTGGTTGTAAACGACCTTCTAGAGAAAAAGAAAGTGTCGAGTGATTGGCTCTACAGATGGGGAGACTTATGGTAAGGACTATATTTTCGGATACCCTTTTTGACCTGACTAAGGCATTACTGAATTTCGATGACTAAGCGCGCGGAAAACAGCGCGGTCTCGCCGTTAACCCTACAAAGACGGAACTGTTCTTCCCTAAAATAGAGGCGTTCGCCTTCAGCTTCCCGACAGAGTAGATACTTAGGTCTGATCCTGTAGCGGAAGTAAGAGGCAGTGAACTTTTTAAAAGCAGCTACAAAATTCAGTGTAGGCTTGCAAGGAGATATTCTGACGGGAGAACTCAAGCCACACCAAGTTCGGGATTCCGTAATGCTGCAGTATTTTTTTGGTAATCAGTACTCAAAAATTACACGTTAGTTGGGGAGGTAAAAACATACTGTGAAATCCAAGTGGCTAGCGAGGTACTGAATGCAATGATTGCGCACTCAGTGGTCAGGAAATGTTTGACTTTTCTCTCAATTGCGTCAGGTATTTTCTTATTAGTCCCATTCGTGTTTCGGGCCACAGCGACTTGTGGGCAAGGGCATGGCTGACACTTTGATAAACAAAGGTGAAAAACCTGCACTGGGTAGGAAAGTCAATCATGTACCGCCGTGCAGCGAAATGTATTTATGTTAGATGGGTGTCAATTTAGTTGAGTTTTGTGGGCACGTGAAGAGGTGGGTTTTGCGATGCGGAGACTCTTAATTTTAATTTTCGGGAATATACTAAGTACTAAAGTAGACAGAATGAAATTTTTCCAGTGCTGTGGGGGTATCTCGTGGCAGGTAAAGTTCTTCCGTCTTTGTACTTCTAAAATGGCACGAACAGGTCGCGAGTTGGTGTAGGATAATACCCACTTCCTGTAAATGACCTATCTATACAGAGTTGGGTCTAGTGGTAGCAATTTGTATTGCTGGATCTCCTCCTCTAGTTTGCAGAGATGCCTTCTGAGGTACTTTGGTGGATGCTCTGCTTCAAGAAAGTGAATCTTGAGCCTCATTATGAAGGTGATATTCCAGCGATGTAAGAAGACATCGCATGGTTCCACGAAATACTGTATTTTGACAAGTCACCCTCTGCGTCCTGCTAGTCCCCGGTGAATACGTGGGCGCTTCATAGTTTATAGCCGGCGGACCAAATGCCTTATATGTTGCCAACAACGTTTCTCAGTCTTAGGTCCAACTGCTGCCGGCTAGCGACAAGTGACAAGTTTGCCGAGAAAGAGAGCAGACAGTCGAAGGTGACTCTAAGTATTTTTTTGTGGTTTACCGTCGGAATTTGCTCGCCTTTGCAGTTCGTAGGGAAGATAGTTCTTGTAATGAAGAACTGAGATAGTGCGGCAAGATAACCGGATACCTTTGAATACAGGTCATCAATTCCTTTGCTGGGCCCCATTATCGAGCAATTGTCAGCGTACGAGTTGATGGAGACTCGCTCTGGTGTTGGAGGGTGTTTCGAGGTATAGAAATTAAACATAAGCGAGAGGATACCACCTTATGGAACTCCTGTTTACTTTTCCTCAGTTATCTTATTTGTAAAGACTAGTAACAAATATTGAGCGCTTAGACAACTCGCTGACTACAGTTTGAGTACCTGGGGGAGAGGAATCGAACATCGTTGACAAATCCAGCCCTAAATATTAGAACTGTTTTCTCACAGAGACGGTTTCGGTTATGGCCGCGGCTTATATAAGTGATTACGGTATTAAGTGCTGTGGGGGTGCGGTGCACTTTACGTTTGTCCTTGGACACTGANAGGCCTGGTGTTACTGACCTGCGTAAGGCTGTAGTTTTAGAACTTTGTTCTATCAGAGTTTCGGCCAAGGTCACCAAAAATGATTTGAAAGACCTTGTTCCACTATTTTTCTGATTTTCGATCATATTCGTGCATATGAGTGGTCATTTGATTTACTAAATCAACACCTCCCATAATTTGACGATGAAATAGTATTTAGTTTGGACATGACACTTGCATTTTTTGCCTGTTTTCAAAGTTTTTTTCATAATTATTATGCCTGGTTCGTGGCAATTTCTCATTATAAAACCCCTTTCATGTCTTGCCGCTTTACGTATAAAAGGCCTGCAGCTGTGCTTTTGAATGCTATTTCTCCTCGTTGCATTTTCTTACTCGTAAAC